TACAAGGGCATCCTTCAGATCAGGAGGCACCTCCTCCTCAATCCATACACGTTGAACCAAGTGGTGCAGCGCAATCAACAACGCGGGTACGCCACGTTTCATTACTTCAGGCGGGATCCCTTCGGCCCCAACACACTTGCCGTTTCGCAGCTGAGCAAGTGCTCTCTGCGTCTCATCCAGTGTCGGTGTGTCCGCCAGACTCGTCTTCACATCGTGTTGCTTCAGGCAGTTCAATGTAGGCCAGTCGATCTCTGAACGGTTGTTCAAGAGACAGTCAAAGTGTTTTCGCCCGATCTGCATTATGTCTGCAGTCTGTGTGCAGGTAGCGCCTGAACTACCGTCGATCAGTGTCCTCAGCGGCTCCAATCTCGGTCCATACTCCGCCTTCAAGGAGTCAAAGAATTCCTTATGTTGGCGGCGTTCGGCGTAGCATTCCATCTGCTTCACCTTCTCCGTACACCATGCATTTTTAATGAGACGGAGCTCTCGGGTCAGTCGCCGTCGAATTCTGTGAAACTCGCTCTTCTTCCCCAAGTTACTGGGGTCTGCCACATGTGCAGCAAATTGCTGCATTCTTCTCCGACGCGAATGCGCCAGTCGTCACATTGTTCTCATCAAACCAATCAGGCCGCTTACAGTTTGTGCGCCCGATGGTCTCCTCGGCAGCAGCTGTCACCTGGTCGCGAATGTGGTGCCATAGGTCGCCCACTGTGGCTATGCATTCCAAATCACACAGGCGTGCAGCCATCGCCTTCTCCAGCTCAGTACGTTTCGCCACAGTACCGAAGGAGAGAATGTTAAATTTATGCTGATTCACGGCGAAAGTGCAATACATCGATTTACGAAAATATATGTACAGTTTGGTCCGAACCAATTTGTGATAAGTGCCACACTCAGCTCCACGCAGTACACGTGTCATGCGCACTTCACGCATATCACCATGACGTACGATGACATAGTGGAGCAGGTGAGCGTGACCCCTCCGTGGGTGCGTCCAAGTTGCTATATCATTCACACTCAGTGCAAACCGAGTGTTCGTGGTCGTCAGGCCGTGAGTGGCACACAGTGAGAGCAGCCTGTCATCGTTCGCATTCGCTGAACCAATGCCATGCGAACCGATAACATATGTCCGCACCGATGCATCACGCCCAAGGGGCGCGTTGAAATCGCCCAGCAGAAATAGTCGGTCGCTCCTCGGCACAGACCGTATCACGGAGGATAGCTCAGTGTAGAATTGATCACGCGTGTCATCAAGAAAACATATGGTCGGACCGTACGTGCTTATAAAAGTAGCAAAGTTACCTCTTCCGAGTCGTAGGCGAACAGTCATCAGTCGCGCGCTGATGCCCGTTGGTTCACCCACCAGTAGGCCATGGAGGCGATCGGATATTGCAAATCCGACCCCATGATCACGTGGTGGTGAGGAGGCGTTGCCCATCCAGTAGAAAGTGTAGCCAGCACCTGCTTCATGCAAGTTACCTTGCTCAGCTAGCCGAGTTTCACTGAGCGACGCAATATCGATGAGGTAGCGCTCCAGTTCCATCGCGACCAGTGCAGTGCATCTCTCCGGGCGCTCGCTGGAGTTCCGGTCCAGTAGTGTGCGCACGTTCCAGCACCCGATGCTGAGTGCTTTGCAAGCAGGCATAAGATTGCATTGGTAGGCAATCGCACGCGAGATGGTCGTTGTGCTTCAGAGGTTTGCTTGAGGGACTCCACCCGGAGCCTTTGGCTCAATAGCCTGACCCACAAGGCAGTGGGTGATTCGGAGATTTGCTTGAGAGACTCCGCCCGGAGCCTTTGGCTCAATAGCCTGACCCTCAAGGCAGCGGGAAACAGATCCAGCTCGGGAATGTGATTGCAGAGACTGACTGGGATATGGTTGACGGCCGTCACACGCAACCTTGGAGGTACTGGAACGATTTATATATGTTTTGCGACCGTAATAGGATACGCACCTGCGACCACGGCCAGACGCAGGTGGGTTTTTGGCGGGTTTGCACCAATTTGACCAGGGGCTGCCTGGCTTGAGGCGGGCAGTAGCAAACCATTGAACACCCGGAGGTGTCCTCCCACCGTCAGAGACAATGCGTGGCACTCGTGCTCTACGCCAATCGAGCTGTGAGCTTATAACCCGTAACCTGTTGTCTCCCATGGCTAGGTTTTACGGGAAGAGGGCCATCGACCACTTCCTAACCTCCGAAGAGGATGGACTAGGATACTGCCAGGGCGCCCAATCCTGACAGGAGAACGACTCGGGTCCTCAGCCAAAGCCTTCGATTAAATGAACACCCGAAAGGCAGCGGGTCTACCACATGGTCAGTCCACTGACTCGGGCGGATTGAAGTCTTAGATGTTAGAAGGGAGAAGGGCGTAACCGAACTCCCACCCAGCGGTCGCTACGAGGAGGCGTCCAGGACATGAGACCATGGCGCAACAGTAGCAGCAGTGGGTAGATCATCTGTCAGGATCTAGCCACCACCAGCCTCAGCGCACCATAGGCTCTCCCGCCAATTATATATATATATATATATATATATATATATATATATATATATATATATATATATATAATCTGTGGTACAGATATTGTGCCATCGGAATCATGGCTGAATAAGAAAACAGTGTGAATAATAAGAAAACAGCAACAACAAAAGCTATTTTTTGTCTAGTTTACCACACACAGTTTCTGAAAAGTTTTTTCGTTTGTTTTTTTAGGGGGAGGAAGAAGGGACACCGCAACACACCGATGCACACGTCCGCCATTGACATCGATCTTGAGCCATGGCTTTCAAACTTTTCAACCAGCAAGTATCTGCATCTCTCGGACCCCAACCAGGTAGTCGACAACAACCGGCCGAGGCCAACTGTTTCGTCAGCTTTTTCATGCGGCTTCTCCATGTTGTAGGCTGTCCACCAGACCGTCTCTTCCAGCCCTGTCCAGCAACCGCAAACAACGCACGACGCGGGTAACGCTGGACAGGCATGCGCAATACGTGTCCAACCACCGCAGTTGATGCAGTGAGACGAGCTCCTCGAGCGAGTGGCTTCCACGTCCCAAGACACGCTGTCTAACTTCCACATTGCTTACGTGGTGCTGCCACCACACACGGGCAATGGACCGCAGACAGCGGTGCTCGAAGACGGATAGCCTGCGCAAGTCATCTTTACGAATGGGCCAGGTCTCGCATCCGTACAACAGTACAGCACGAACAGTTGCACAATAGACCCGCCCTTTGATGGAGAGACGAATGTCGTGGCGACGCCACAAGTGCCTCAGCCTAGAAAAAGCGAGGCGTGCTCTCGAGATGCGCATCGAAATCTCGTCTCCAACAGCCCCGCCAGCAGTGATGCAACTTCCCAAGTAGACAAAGCTCTCCACAACCTCTAGTGTCTCACCACCAAGAGTGAGTGCAGGCAGAGGCACCTGTCAGTCTTGGAAGAGAGCCTTGCATTTGGATGGCGAAAAGTACATACCATACTTTGATGCTTCAATCGCCAAGCGATTTAGTGCAAGTTGGACGACGTGTGGATCGTCACCAAGCAAGACGATATCATCAGCATAATCCAAATCAACAACTCGACTACATGGGAGGAGCTCAACGCCAGCGTTCAACGCATCGCCCAGAGCGTTCTTCAGGACATCCTCAATGGCAAAGTTGAATAGGAACGGAGAGATAGGGCATCCTTGTCGAACTCCACTGGCGAACACAAAGGAAGGAGAAAGCTTGCCATAAGCCCTAACCCTGCCCGAGGTCAGAATATAGAGAGCGCGCAGTATGGAGACGAACTTCTCAGGGACACCATTTCTCAGTAGGTAGTGCCACAGTACCGTCCGATCGACAGCATCGAAGGCTGCACGAATATCCAGGAACACAGCAATCGTTGGCCTCTGATACACATGTCGGAGCTCGAGGATCTGGCGGAGTGTGAAGATTTGATCGATGCAGTCGCGACCAGGACGAAACCCAGCTTGTTCTTCTCGTTGCAACGATTCGCGCGTTGGGGATAGCCTGCGAAGTATGATGGACACCAGCAGCTTGCAAACGACGGGGACTAAGCTTATGCCTCTGTAGTTGGAGCAGATTGTGCGCAGGCCCTTTTTGAAGATGGGGACGACTATCGATTCATTCCAAGATGATGGAACTTTCTCTTTCGACCAAATTTTCGAGAACAAAGCGGTGAGTTCTCGAACCAGCGAAGCGCCACCATCTTTAAATAGAGCTGGAGGAAGACCATCAGGGCCGGGGGCTTTATAACGCTTCATGTGGCGGAGCTCCTGCTCGATTTCCTGGTAAGAGGGAGGATCTGTGAGGATAGACCACTCGGCCCCAGCGCGAGCGCCAGAGGTAGCAGATGGAGCTGGGGCCAACAAAACTGCGAGCCAAAATGTTCGGCCCATCGCTCCAACCGTCGTTGAAGATTGGTGATTAAGGTGCCATCCTCTTCGCATATTGTTTCACTTATACCAGATCGAACACCTTCGGTGACTCGAATGAGATGGAAAAGTTTTCTGGTATTACCAGAGAGACTAGCAAGCTCCATCTCCCTAGCACGTTCACACCACCAAGCTTCGCGGTCCATTTGCAGACTCCTGCGCAACTCACGACCCAGGGATTGGCGTTCTTCACTGTGTCTGGAATCCGATGGGATCAAGCGGCGTTTGTCCATCAGCGACAAGGAGACGGCGGAAATCCAATGCTTCGGTGGGTGACGGGCAACTCCACAAGTGTCGATACTGGCGGAAACTAAGGCATCTTTGATATGCGCCCACTGCGAATCGAGATCACCGTCAATAGTTGAGGCAAGCAAGGTTGACAGTGAGGCTTAGTACCTGGTTAAAATCGCAGGGTTTTGTAGATTTGCGACGTCCGGTCGGTAGTGAGCGCGCTTAGGTGATCCTCCGAAACGCATGCAAATCTTAGCACGAACCAATGCGTGATCGGAGTCTAGATAAGTTGACCAGTACGATCGGCAGTCCGTTACGCTTCCGCGCCATCTGT